CAAATAAACCCTACTTGTTCCTTACCGCAGTCCAGGAGCCGTATCTCCACTGAGTCAGGAGCTGAGCAGAGTTGTCAGGAAGTGGTGTGCTCGTGGCAGAGAGGGACCATGGGCACGCATGCATCTCACAGTCCTACAAAAAACATCATGCAAATAGGGTTAAAATTAGTAATTATCGAGAGTCATTATCACTACATTGCAGTGGCGGGAGTAAATATGCCAAGAATATTTCTAAATACATTTCAGAGACTCCCTTGGATGCAAGATCTAGAACATGTGCTCTAATGACTAAAATTGTCCAAAAGGAACAGGGTTAACGGTTATAGACAAATAACCACACAAAATAAAAAATGCTTGAAAACTAAGGTTATTTATGTACATTATTGTGGTTAAGAATGTCTCAAGCTGTTAGTTTAGTACCATTTCAAAGCTTGTATATCCACAATACAATGTCTGTCCATATGTAGTGACTGATCTGAGACAGATCACCCATCCGGAGACTGAAAGGTCATCAGTTCAACACTCTCTGTCCATCAGCGTCTAAGAGCCCTTATGGTATATACTTGAACCATCAGGTAAAGTGTGCTGCAGCCTTGTAGTCTTGTCCACATTGACACTGGCTTGGACTTTTGGTCAACGCAAAGCAGGACAAGCCAACATTTAAAGAGACTGCAGACGTTAACTAGGTTGCAATGTTTGCTTCACTAAAGTTTGTAGTTATAGGTACGCTTGATTTAACAGCATCGTCGAAGAGTGGCGATCAAGGATACTTTGCAGGTGAGTGGAGATGCTCTTAATTTAAAAAAAAAAAAACATTGACAAGAGCTCTCCCTGGCTACAGCATCAAAATAACTGAATGAATGTGGTCACTCACTGAGCTGGAATCAGAATCAGAGTGACCAGTAGATATTTTTAGGTTCAAATCTCACTGTACAAATTAAGCCAGTGAGATTTAAAGCTGCACTATTTAATTTTTTTTATAGTAACAATGGATCAAATAACTATGAGTAATGTGAAAAGGGTCATTCACAGTGACAAACTCACTGCGAATTATTATCACTTCACTCTACAGTTCAGCTCTACGAAGGATTTTAGCATTGTTTTGGTTTTCCGGCCCACAACTTTAGTGTTTGGTTCATTACTACCGCTCTCATTAACCTGCTGCTGTTTTCACTGAAAATGTTCTTATCAACCTACTATAATCTCCCTGCCCAGCACGGCAACGGCAGACTGGCAAACTTAGAAACTAGCTAGTAAACATAGGGTATACTTTGCAGAGTAAGTGCCAGATATTTCTATCTAAAATATATTTCTAGCTAAAAGGAATGTGAGTTTTGGACTTCCAGCCAGTATGGCAATCAGTTGTAGTTGTGGATAGAAAAATGAATCCAAATAAATACTCATGTCGCTACGTGTCTTCTGGATGTTTAAATAGATAATTGTTTGCCAAAGTGATAACAGGCCAATGTTGTGTTTACAGCTTGCCCTGTAGCTTCCAAAGTGGCCATAAAAATCACTTAATCCTGTGTTAAGTTGGCTTAGTAGTGATACTATCTTGTAGGATTAAAGGTTAAAACAACCCTGGTAGCCAGGTAACCTATTCCTTGGCTCAACAGTGATCTAAATCTGGAATGTCTGGTTGCAAGATTCACAGTAAAGTTGCGCAATATTACCAAAATGTGATATTGCAATGTTGGTCATGAATATTGTGATAATGATATTGATTTTGATAGTCTTAAACATAGGGGGGGGGGGGGGGGGGGGGGGGGAGCAAGTTGATGGGCCCTGTTTCTGATACGTTTCACCTTTAATCTCTGTTGTTTTGTTGTCCCCATCCGTTTTAAAGCGGGCTCTTAATCTAACACAACTAAGCCACACAGCTATGGACGCATCTCTCCACAAAAGCATGCATAGTATCTGCAACATATCGTATTGCAACATGATATTTCAATAAAGATATTGAGTCAATATATTGTGTATCCCTAATTTACAGTAATCAGCAGTTATTTTATGTTAGCGGAAGCATATCTGAATTGTCCAAGAGGGCCCTACTAAACTTTCAAACTTATTGTAAACATAAAATCAGGGTGAAAATAAATGTTAGCCAACATACTCATACTTGTAAAAAATCCAGGAAGTGAAATTTCCAAAAAACAATTGAGCTTTGTGTCTTGTTTGTGTCCTGACCTCAGATATGCATAATATATGGCATCTTCATTCAATCACGTATGCACGATTTAATGCTGTAGGTCATTTTTGACTTGCATTTTATTTATTTCCCCAAGAGAAAACCAGTGACTCTGGGACAACTAAGACTGAAATTTGACTGTTGAACTTTTGGTTATTTGAGCAGTTCGGAGTGTGTAATTATTTTTTTTTTTACCTGACTGTCTCTCGGCCTCGCCGCAGCATTGCACTCTCTGTCATCTACTGTGTCCCCGTAGTCCCCCGAAACACACCTAACGGCTCTCATCTGGTAGCCATGGCCACAGGTCACCGCACACTGAAAGACAAAATCACACAGACACATACACACACACAAACACAAGAGAAGAGAGAATCCCAGTCAACCACAAGTTATCTCAATCTCTATCTAAGTACGTCAAGGTTGTAATCTTAGATGGGGCTTCTGTCAAGGTTCAGCTCAGCAGAGCCTGGGTAAGACTCTGACATGCATGCACACATTTGGACACATGCGTTCACACACATACCCACAGTCTCAACTCGACCCTTTACCCAATTCTTAACTCACATACGAGGTGATTTGACCACATTCAGGTACAATAAGAGTGCAGAGGTAGTGCCACAGGATAGGTTTATTTGACCAGCAAATTATAATTACATAGGCATTAACCAGCCAATATATTCCAGCTCTGTAAATACCACTATCTGACTTCAAACAAACACGTGTGGCGGTATTAGATCTACATGTATAAACTAGACTATGAATGGCCAAAGACACCCATTCATACATGTTTCATTCAATTTGTGCTTTATCCTAACAGGGCTACGACTATACAGAAACAGTTGGAAACTTAAGACATTTTAATGTATAGGAACATGTGTATGTGTGTGTGTGTGTGTACTGTGGGTCAGGTTTAGTCTGACAGGATATGAGGGCAAAGTGAAAGCACCGTGGAGGAAATGGCAGCTGGAGTCAGAGCGCACTCCATCGTAACTTGCCGTTATATCAGGTTACAAACAAACACAGACACACACACACACACTAACTTGAAATATACACCATCACTCCTACACATTACATTCTCTCTCTGTGACCACACACACATACACACACACACACAGTGTAACAGATACGAGTCACACTGTTAGACGGCAAGCCACACGTGAAAGCCATTTCCACAGTCAAACACTGCGTCAAGTCACCTCGCCCTTGTGTCTATGTCGTAGCTGTGTGAATGTGTGTGTGTGCAAGTGCGCGTGTGTCTGCAGGACTCACCGCTCCCCAGACGCCGACCTGCCAGGACGCACACTCAGGCAGCTTGCAGCTCCCCACAGCAGGAGGTTTGCTAGATGGGTCGCAGAAGTGCTCGCTCAGCTTCTCCTCCCCAGCTCCCATGCTGCAGGACACTTGTCTGTGCCTCATTCCCTTCCCACAAGTCACCAGGCACTGGGTGAGGATGGTGGGTGGCAGGGTTGAGATGATGGTGGAAAAGGTAGAGAAAATGTAATCAGAATGTGAGTGTGTACATTTGGGCATTCAAAATCAGACATTCACCTGTTAGAAAATACATTTACAACCTTTAATACAAACTTTAAAATCATCATTTGACCTTTCAAGGTAGGATTTATAGGAAGGACTGTCTTGTTGTGTTGCACTGGATGTGGCTAGGTATAACTTAATAACTGTATTATGTCATTATTATTTCATGGCAATCTGGTCCACCTCCTGTATAATATTACACACCCCAGACTTTACTATTAACCTATGTCAGTGGTGAGCTGTGCTGAAGGATGGTTTTCTGACAGTAATTGTATCAAAGTTTGTAGATTTATGCTTTGTAGTCCCCTTCTCGAGCTTAACAAATATGTTTTTCAACCTTCTTGCTGCTTTTGAAAGTGTTGCTGTGTGTGCGCATGCGTGTGAGATGTCCCCACCTCACTCCACTCGCTAACAGTCCACTTCGGACAAGGCTGGTCGTTGCAGGTTTCAGTGACCACCCTCTGGTAATCGTTGCACTCTCTGTCCACCAGCCGTCTACCCAGGTTGTTTATACAGTAAGACTCTCTGCTACGGCTTCCACGTCCACATGTCTTAGAGCACTGTTTACAAGAATAGTTTAAACATGTTCAGCCCACTTACACATGTGTTAATCTATGCTGTAATTTCTCCAATAATGAAATGATTATGAAATTATTATTAGTGAAATTGTACCTGTGACCATGTGCTGTACTGCCAGCTCTTAAGCAGACAATCCCCGTGGCAGGGCTCTCTGGTCTGAGGTTTGGCAGTGTCTCCACAGGCGCTGGCCTCCATCCTCTCACTCTGTCTCTTCATCAGGCTGTACTTCATACACTGAACATCCAGGCTGCGGTAGCCTGGCCCACATTTAGCAGAACATTCGCTCTTTCCAGCAACATGCCACCTGTGAGAGGGGAGGTAGACAAATGGTTGCCTGTGTGTACTCGGTAGATTTTTCTTGTTTGTTTTTGGTGGGTGTATGTGTGTGTCTTTGTGCATTAATGCACACCTGACTTCACAGTCAGTGTTGCAGGGCTCAGTAACAGCAACAGGACGAGGTAAATGTTCACAGCGTTGGTCCGATACCTCAAGGTGATCACTCTTACGCACACATACCGCCTTTCGTCTTCGCTCACCTGCACACACACGCAAGACGAAAAGCAGGGTTCAAATCAGACAACATCTGGCAGACAGGTCACTTGCCAAAATATCACATTTCTTCATCTTTAACAAGTCTGACCAGCTTTCTGACATCCAGTCCTTCATCATACAGCCTTATGGGTCCATGTCGGTCTCAGACCCCACAAATACATCTATTTACTGGATCCGCTGTGCTCTTTGACCCACTGGGAGCCTGACTAGACTTTTTCTAAAACAAAAATTTGAGGGGCTAAGACGGGTTAAGGGCCAAGCTAAGGGGAAGGTGTCAGGCGATGTGATTGGCCGGGGTCACACTGGGGTTGCCGGGAGGGGGGTTTATCGAAAGAGGGGATGAGTCCAGAGGTGTATCCAGAGGTGTGTAAGTGATGCAAAGATCCATATCCATGTAATATGATTTCATGTAATAAAGACACATTATGGTTCCTATAAATTTCACACTTTTTACAGATTTGTTGGTGGTATATATTTTCGGTTTACATTAAGAGTAGCTATGAAATGTGCATGTCAGTTGGATCACAAGCCTCTTCAGCAATACACTTTTGTTCACAATCACAATTTTTTAAATAACTATGGGCCTAAATTTACATTAAATATGTACTTATACGTGTATTATAAGAGAATTGATCCTGTTATTCATGTGTGGAGATTTGGAAGCCAAGCTGAGATCTTACCCTGACAGATGCGAGTGCACTCGAGCCAGGAGCCTGAGGGATCCCACACAAACTGCTCCCTGTGTTCCTCGATGGGTATGTTGAAGGAGTAGCGGACGTCTGGGTTGTGGAGGTTTCCCACACACAAGACCTGTGGAAACGATGGTGGGGAAGACAAGGTCGAAAGACTTAACACTGATTTTCTATCTAGCTGGCTCCATATGTCGGTGGGTGAGAAGGAAGAAAACGTTTACAGGAGGGGATGTAGAGATCGAGACTAAAGGAGAGTGAGAGGAGGCTGAGGGAAATACAGTATAACTAATGTAGGAGTGACTGACAAAGAAAACACAGTAATGAAAAACAAAGAGGAGAAAGCGTCCTCCTAATACCTGCAGAATGAGCTCCTCCTCAATGCGCTCAGTGCAGTTGATGCGCTCCACTTTTGTGTCCGAGCCGCTGTAGTCAATGATGGTTCCCTTGAAGGTGATTTCCCTTTTGAACATGGCCACCACAAAGTTCCCATTCAGGAGGGAGTTGGACTGGCTATCAGACAATGCTGGAATAAGAAAAGGGCAGATAAGAATAACAAATCTGACCACGAACCATAAACAACATGGAAATCCAAATGTGAAAGAGTTCAGTGTAAGTGAAGGAATGTTTGGTTCCTAAAATAAGTTTTGCTCTTGGTTTTGGGAATGTTTACGAGACATGGCATTTATCATTTCAGGCTATATGTTAAGGAAACTCTTTCCTCTCTCTAAAGTCTCTTGAGTTGCCAAACTTTTGTTCTACAACGCCATTGTTACAGGGGAGGTATGTTGAAACACTGGTGGCACTAAATTGCAGTTATTTGGAGTTAGACTGCGTGACTCTTCTTAATGACTGACATTGCAATGCAAACAAAGGATCTCCCCTGACTGCAAATACAAACAAATACACATATGCACAAAAATAACACACAGGAACACATGTATAGACACTCACACTTGGCAAACAACCACATAATGCCATAATGAACACCAACCACCTCTTTCTCTACCTCCAACAGTTCCAAGAAACATGCAGTTAATTACAATCTGAGAGTGCATGCCGAAACAATGTATGTGATTAAGTCTCTAGATGCCACAGTGTTTACATATCATTCTGCACATTGTTGAATGCCAGCTAGTCATCTTTAGCCCAAAGACGACTGTGAGGTCTGTGGGGTTTTGGCAATGATCTACAGACTTTTGTTGCCATTACAAAAAGCGTCAATGATGATTGCAGAAATAGAAAAATAAAAATAAAACAAACAACAAATCTTAGAATGTGCAGACCTACAGCCCCCCCCCCCCCACACACACACACTTAACAATATACACACATCTTAAAGTTTTCTTATGCATGACGCTGACCAGAAGATGCTTCTTCTGAAGCCTGTTCTCCAGAAAAATTTACACCTCAAATATTGTTTTCAGGTACACAAGCTGTTCTAAATACCAAAAATAAAAGGAGAAACCAACATCAACTTAAAAAGGTGCTGAGCTACCGTGAGCTCTATTCAATTTGATGGATCAGTTAAAAAAGAGAGAGAGAGGGACAGATAATGCACATAACAGTGTTCAAATGAGAATGCAATTCTGTTTATTTACTAAATTAACAATAGCATCAGAGCACACTCTGAAATGTCATGGCCTGGGGAGGCTGTTTAGGAGGTCACCACACTCATGACACAGTGCTTAGGTTCTGTGAACACATTACGGTCACTTTTTCGTTGTTGTTGTTTTACATTAACTTTGGGAACAGCAGTTGTGAACTGCATTTCTCGTGTGTACTAGACGAAGCACAGCTGGGCTTCCTTTGATGTCACTGTAAGCTCAAGGACTGCCCTTTGTGAACCATTTTCCTTGAGGAAGGTCTACTGAGCGAAAACTTACCTTGATCATCAAATACTTGCACTGGACCCAAAGTGGGACCCAAAAGACCCACACACTTTTTGCACCATAGCATTGTAAAATTGAGTAAAATATATTCATACGGCACCTTTCTACATCAGACCTCACAAAGTGTTTTGCAATGAAAAACAGAAGAAAGACATGAAATAGCGACACAATACATAAGTAATATAAAATAGAGATTAAAAAAAATAAAATAAAACTAAGCAAATCTAAAAGCTGCTTTCTAATTGTGTCAACAGGTGTCCAAGTCCGACGGGAGAAAGTTTTAAAGTTGAGGAGCCACAACTTCAAATGCATGTCTCCTTTATATGTCATGCCATTTTTCTACATACAGTACCAGCCGGAGTGGCAAAATTGACAGGGTGTAGCAAATACTAACCACGTTTAATACAGACACCACTCACTCAATGTGCAGTTGATGCACTCAGCAACAGCGGGAGTCAAGCTTTTCACCTCAGCATGGCAACAAATCCCTGCCAGATGTGTTCTCTGACAATTTGACTTAAAACATCTTGAACCTGACTTGAACCATCTGAAAATAGGCACCCGTCCTTACAACATAGGCAAAACTCTGTTGTCTTGCTCTCTCTCTCACACACACACACACACACACACACACACACACAGAGCCTGGTGGGTCCATCTAACCCTATACCCCTATATCTACTTTCATGCGGCCTGGGCTCCACATGCCTCTAATTAGCACCTATTGCTGCCTCATTTATCTTTCTCAGGGACTGACACTCCATTTGCTTTCCCAACCAACCCTCTTTGCCATGACCAGATGGACCAACGCCCCTTCATGTTTTCTCCATATACACTTAGTATAAATGACAGTTTCCTTTCCTTCATATAAATGGTTAGACAACAGTTTTGCCCATGTCTCCTTGCCCTCATTCACTAAAAGCTTGCCTTTACAGCTCTGGCTCACCAAGTCTAGGTGGTTTATGGTTAGGGGATAATGGTATTTATGAGACGAGAACTGAAAGGATGTAATATATACACATCTTTTTAGGCTGCACTGCTTCCATTTTTGGTTGATTCTCCCAAGAAAAAACACAATTTAATAAAGTGTTGTTTAAAACCACATTGTGGCACTGACACACACACACACACACACTCACCGAGGTAGCTGTCGTCTTCTGGCTTTCCAGAGTAGCTGACCTGTTTGATATCAATGTTGGTGGCTCCGGCTGGGATCCTCACCACTGTGTTGTAACCTGAAGCAGAAGAAAAGAAGGAGAGACAGACAGACAGAACAAGAGAGTGAGACAGAGAGCACAGAAAGTTACACAATTTTGAAATAAGTCTCTAAAGGGAGCAAAGCAGCCATAATAACAGCAATGAGCGGTCCCACCTTGATTTTCATAATAGCTTCACTATGCTACACCCAACCCCAGTCAGGGAAGTCCGCTTCTAACCACCAGGGATTTGAATGTTACACTTGAAAAAATACAAGAAAAAGGTATAGTCCTCTCAAATAACCTGCAGGAGGCCTTGTTTTAGTCTCAGAGGCCCGACCGTGAAATGATATGTAATTATTCCCTGGACCTACTTTTGGCCTGTAATTACAACACCAGCCCTGTTGTCCCATGATAAACTAACACATAAAACAAGTGTGCATGAGGGAGACAGAGCATGTCAAAGCCAAGATGCAACAACAAATGTAGGGATGGAGACTGAATAGGGAGCACGGTATGAAATAAGCAAAATATAAAGAAAAAAACTGTACTTTCTCTAGGCAAGGCTTTTGTACAGCTGCTCGTGTTTGGACAGCATTCAACGACATATTATTGTTTATAGCAACAATTTAAGGATTACAGAGTAAAATCATGTAATAAAGGCTAAATGTGGCTGTTCCATACTGTAGAAGACTTGCCAATATTCACAATATTTTCAGGTCAGCATTTCAGCTTGAGAATTTGAACCCTTTTGGTCAGGTGCCTTTCAACTACTTAATGCTGCCTTAAAAAAACCCTGAACAGAACTAAACTGAAGAGGTGTGGTGTTATCTGATGGTTAGCCTGACACCTTGAGCCACTCGGGGGCAGCACTTGGTTTACATATCTTACTCTCATCAGCCATGTAGAACATCATCATAAGCTATAAAGTCATCATGATTGAAAAATGTTTTCACTTGACGCCACACACTGCACAGGAAGCTACTTTACTTTCATAAGCACCACTATTAGAAGATATATAGAAACTTACTTTTAAAAAATCCTTCACAATAAAACCCAAATATTGTCACCACAACACAAAAAACAATATAGTTATACAGTCTCCCTTGGAGTTCACTGTGTAATGTCAAATTCCCTCCCTAAACACTGGGGACAGGATAAGCTCATAAAAAGACAGGACATATGAACTTCAGAAAACACCAACGTGGCCCCCCTCTGAGGAAACATGGTATCACAAGCCATCTGAGGCCACGGAGATCCCCCAGCTTAGCAACTGACCACACACACAATCATCCGCCACCACAAAGTGACACAGGGATGAACAGTAAATACACCACCCTAGCGGAAAAAAAACACAACCATGCTGCACTTAGGGAACGCTAGAGTTTACCTCAAACATGCTTCTCTCAGCCACTAGTAAGAAAGAAGACGATGTATTAATAGCCTGCAGAGGAAAATTAGAGGGTGTCACAAGTTCACCCTGATGGATGAGGATACTGACTGAGCTGATGACAAACATTTCTTTTGTTGTTACTGAGATTGGATTATTTTTCCATTCTGGCATTTAACCTCCAAGAAACCAGAAAACATAGAAAAACTAAGCCAGTATCAAGTATACTCATAAATCTCAGGTACAATGTCTTGGGTCTTGTAAAGCAGTTTAATTGAAAAGTTAACTTTCTATCTTTATTCAGAATGGTATTCTTGAGACTAGTGTCAAGATGCGATGATAATACAATATTTTTGTCTTCTTGAAATCACTGAGCTCATTGTCATAGAATCATAAATTCTTTCTGTGACTTTGCCAAAGTCTGGTGGCGGACCAGACACTAAAAACAAATGTTGATATATGCAATCACAAGTTTATGATTGAATGTGAACTTGGAACCATACATTCTAACTTTTTTTGAGACATTGGGAGAGCCCAGATGCTGCGTCAGTTAACTTTCACTATGACACACTAAATGAAATAAACAAGCAATTGTAGAGGCCAAAGGTCTCATTACACTTTCATATATAGTGTAGTCTGAATTAGGCATTAGACCTGACTGTTTTAAGTCAACATGGTTAAAAGACTGTTTCTTTACACGTGAGATCCTAATGGGAAAAACTTTGCTCTTTGTGATTGCCAGTGTCATGATAACTTAGCCAATGGGGAAAACGGTTGTGTATCGATTTGTGGAAAACTTTAAGTTGAACTCGGAGAGAATAAATATTTGTAGACTTAAGCACATGTGTGGCCACAAATATTACCTTGCAGTTAATTTCTGCGTTGTTGCGGGCTCAGTCGTTTGTTTTTTTCAGTGAAAGTGATAAGTGTAGCTCGGTCAGCCGTTTTTCCCGAGCGCCGTTTTTCCTGAGGGACTCAAGAGAACGTGGAACCGTGGGAGCTAGCCTGCTGAGGGACCCCACCCATGCATTGCATCGCCGCACAGACATCTACTTACTGCACCTCATCATTCTTCTGCATCATCTACCAGCCTGGGGATTCTTTTGAACTGTCGGAGAGTCGGAGTAACGGAGCCGCGTGAGTAAGGGGAGATTTTTTCTGAACAATGAATTGTAATACCAAGGATTTCTTTCATTTATGCACCACCATCTGGCCCCACGTTTACAAATCCAAGTGCTTGGTAATAATTTCAACATTTGTTTGATGGGTTACACTTAACTTACTTTAAACTTTACAATCTAAAGACTTGGATCGAGACCAGCAAAAACATCCAAGTGTCAAGTTTCTATCTGTTGTAATACTGGAAATTTAAAAATACACAGCAACAGTCAGGTCTTACACATCTGCAGAATTAAACTATAAAAAAATAAATTGATGCGCCAATTCATCTCACATCTTGCCTCGCAATTTGTTTTTCCTTGCTTATGAAGATGTAACTTAATTTGGACCTTCCCCAAAAGACAAAAAAAGGTGAAGAAAGACAAAGATTGCCACAGAGAAAGCAAAGGAAAGAGACAACAGTAGCAAATAAGAAATAGAGAGACATCAAACAGGAAAGGACAAAAGGGTGAAAGACAGAAAGACAAGCCTAGACTCAGGAGCAGAGAGATTTCCTGCCTGGGCTGCACTCCCACTCATGTTCTCTTTGTTAAGGTCAAGCCAAATTTCCAGGGCTGAGCACAGTGCCTGGATTGGTTCAATCCAGTCCTAAAACCCTCTACCCCCAGCCAACAGAGTACAGAGAGAAAGCAGATGGATAGAGATGCTAAAGTTCAGCGCCAAACTAATGCGAAGTAAACATGACAGAGGCCACACCCAGAGCTTTTATGCTAATGTCTCTGCCGTTTTGCTGCCCAGACCTAAAAAGAATTGGATGCAATCAGCAGTTGGCCCACGGTGAAGCGCCGCATTAAGGAGGACAGTTCAAAGGGTGATGTCAGGTTTGTGTTTGCAATCGAAAGACCTGAAAGAGTGAGATCTCTGTGTAAATCAGTTTCTGAAGCTTTAGAGAAGACTGGTGTTCTGCATTTATCCAAATTTGGCAGAAGCACGCATTGTTGCTGAAAATCAAGCTTATATGTTTAAACATAACCAGACATGACATCAGCACCTAATATGAGCATACAGCAGTTGTGGCAGCCATTCTTACAGCATATCAGATATAACATAGATCATCTGCAAGAGCTGCTGACACACAGTATGTGTAATAGCAACACCTTTTTTGTTAACAGTCAGCTATTAGTGTACCTTACATGTAATATAAGCAGCCGGACTTACCATACTGAGCATCATTGAAGGTCCCTGCCAGGGTTTTACACGACGAGTTGTCCCCGCCACATACTCCGCACTTGTCATTCCTGGCCTTCGAGTTAAGAACATGGTCACAGCCTGCTTGCTGAGGAGGCACAGATTAAGAGAAGATAGAATGTTGTGATTTAGAGCGATGTAATATTATGCTGTACTTAAAATTATTAGTTTGAATGTTTTGAACTACACATTTGCTTTCCAGTAATTACAAAACGTGAATCATGTAAAAGTATGAGTAGGCTGAGCGTGTTAAGTTTGTTTTTCTGCAAAAGCCAAAATGTAACTTTGGCACAGATAAATCATCATGAGAATAAGTTAAATTGACTTTGATGTGTGTGTGTGTGTGTGTGTGTGTGTGTGTGTGTGTGTGTGTGTGTGTGTGTGTGCGCGCGTGCATGTGTGTGTGTGTGAGTATGCATAAGCTCATTATTATTAACAGACAGATATACCCTGCAGAGGCCTTGAACACAGATGTCGAAAGTATCCATCCCACATGGCGTGCCGTCGATGACGCGATCCTTCAGCTGATAGTACACCGTAGTACCAGCTGCCCGGCAGAAGAGCTTACAGCGATCCTTCATGAGTACTGGATGGAGAAAGAAAAAATAATGGAAAAAGTTGAACTATAGGTCATTAATTTAATGAGACTAATAAAATAAAAATCCTGGACAATAACAGAAAAGGCCTAGAAGTGACTTGCCCATCCTGATGAAATAAAACAAAACATTAACACTTCACATTTTTAATTTCATACCCAGTTACATTTTTTGAAAAGTTCAGCAGACTCTCGCTGAACTGCCAAATTTTTATCAGTTGTTTGGGAAAATCACTTTGGTCTGACAGCGTGCTGGCTCCGGGGCTTGGCCTGTTTGCTTGTACAGCATCAATTAAATGAATGAATCACTTGCAGTAACTTAGACATGGTGGTCTTCGCCAGATGGTAATCTCATGTAGCTGGGCAGTCCATCTTGGCAAGGAATGAGATGCGGCTGCAAGAGAGAAAGCTGCCAGGTGGTTCATATGGAAGGGCTGTGTGCTATAATGCTGCTGTTGCTTTATGTCAACGAAAGGTTTACGCCAGGCAGCTTTTACATGCAGTGCGTAGATACAAATGCAGTAGACACATAG